GGCGGGCGGAGCTGGGTGGAGCCCCGGTGGAGGGGGGTCCGGGAGGCCCCCTCTGGACTGTTCCTCACTCCAAGGACAGGAAACATGCCAGCGAGAGGTTCCAAACGAATGGGTGAGGCAAACGCCTCTATGGAAACATGGTAACTTGGAACTGGAACTGTTTGGTAACTGTATTGACTGTTTTTAGTTTGTTTTTCATGGTTTTTATTGATTTTCAAAGAGAGGAAGAGAAACATCCTCCATCAGCTGCCTCCCGCACGCCCCCTGCTGGGGGTCAAGCGCACCACCCGGGCCCGAGCCCTGGCCCGGAATGAACCGGTGACCTCTGGTTCCTGGGTCGATGCTCATCGCTGGGCTCTTTATTGTTTACTCTCCGCGGCAACCAGTGGTTTTCTGCCAAACGCACCCCCTGCCTGTGAACTCGGTGACCGCCAGGCTTCACCTGCAGAATGAAAGGCGCATCCGGGAAGCACGGTTGCCCTTAGAGCAGATGCTGAATGGAGAGGCTGATGGACTTAGAAAAAAGCACACGTGGGAACCACCCGGTGGTGATGATTTCGGACAGAAATCACCAAAGGCTGCTGAAACCAGCGGTGCGGGAGAGACACGGGGTGGCATAGTCCCAAAGGCCTGCCCACCAAAGGCCCCCCACAGGGGTGAGTCGGCACTGGGCGGGGAGCAGTGGGGTAGACATCACCCCAGCCAAGACCAGGCGGTCAGAGGCAGCATGGCCAGTGCTGGGGACGAAACCCACTGAGGAAGACACTGTAGCACCTCCGTGTCGTTCCTCCCAAAAAGTGCATGATCCGAATCTGATCCTCAGAAAACATCAGGCCCTGATGAGGCAGATTCTACGAAATGCCGGGCCCGTGTGCTTCCCAACGCCCAGGTCACGAGAGGCCAGGACTGGAGGACGATTCTGGGTTAAAGGAGACCGAGAGAAACGTGCCAGGTCCTGGAGGAGGATCTAGTAGCACAGTTGGCAAAATCTGAATAGGCCTTTAATTAAAAAAAAAAAAAAGGAAAAAGATTTTTTATTGATTTTTTTTTAGAGAGAGAGAGGAAGGGGGTGGGGAGAGAGAAACACCTATGTGAGACCTGGCGTCGAAGCAGCAGCCTTGGTGCAGGGCACGACGCCCAGCCCTCCGAGCCACACCGGCCAGGATGTGATCAAGATCTAAAATGAACCCAGATACGTTTGGAAAGGTCCTCGTTTGTAAAGTCATGTCATGGGAGGGTCTTGAGTTCACTCTTAACTGTAAGTGAGCCAGCGTCCGGATAACAGGAAGAGTCTGTAACAGGAAAAGTCACTCCCTCAGTCGTGACTTTTGCTCCGCTGGCAGGGACTTTGGAGTCTGTAAAATGTCTTTACCTGTGACAAAGCACTTTTTAAATTAGGCCGTTTGTGGGTGACTTGCCAAGTTGTGTTTCACTCTGATCTTGCCAGTGTGGACCTGACCAAAGAGGAAGCGCCTGGCCCCGTCGGCTCTAGAAGCGGCTCAGCTGGACCCCCCCAGCAGGAGGACGGCAGCATGTTCTCTCTCGTCACCTGGAACGTGGACGGGCTGGATCTGAACAACCTGTGGGAGCGGGCTCAAGGGGTGTGTGCCTCCCTCGCTCTGTGAGTGCTCGCCCGCCTGTGGGAGGGGGCGGTCGTGCGTCTCCCCTGCGTGCAGGAGGCAGCCGCTGAAGTCTGAGACTGGAATTCAGGTCCAGCTCCCAGGGTGGAGGGAGAGGCGGGGCAGGAACACAGGTTTTTGTTAGAAGCCTTCTCGTGCTATTTGACTTACTGACCTTGTCTGTAATCATTGCTACGAGAATTACCAGGCAGTTCTGAGGCTGTCACACTGGCCGTCACCTGTGGGGTCACGGGTGAGCCACGTCGCTTGTCAGGGATCATTGTTTCCAGAGGACGAGGACGGAAAGGGGTGGTCACACGTGAAGTGTCCCTCGGGGTGCAGGACTGTGGTGCCTCTCAGATTACTGCTTCCTGTTGTCAGTGATTCTCATTAACTTTACAGTGTGGTGTCACATATATGTTTTTTAAAATTAATCTTTGCAGTATTATGTGTGAAATAGCACAGATCTCTCGTTTTATAGTTACCAAAGAGCAGCATGAACATTGAATATTGGGTGTCTGTGACGGTCAGTTTTGTATTGCTTTTATGTTGTGGTATTTCCTAATCTAGGTTCTGCAGATGAAATGGTACATATCTGCTGTTCACCATAAACTGATGTTTTCAAACAGGTACAGCCCGGATGTGATATTTCTACAGGAAGTTATTCCCCCATATTACAGCTTGCTAAAGAAGAGAGCAAGTAGTTATGAGATTATTACAGGTAACAGCTTTCCTGTCATTTACCTTGCCTTTTTCTTCAAAAAAATGTGTCAATGAAAGAAACAAATCGAAGTTAGCCTATTGGAGCATCGGCAAAAAAAAGTGCAAACACAGTAAGTTTAAGCAAACAAGCCAGAAACAAAATACTGAGAACATTTTATAAAGCTTTGAAGTGAGAAAGTGGTTGAAATGAATGATATCTCAGGAAAATGTAAATTGTCAAAATTTGAGTCAGTAGCTTTTTGGAGACATTAAGTCATTAAAAAAATTTAAGTGTGATAATTGCATTGTCGTTACGCTTTTTTCCAAATTCTTAATTTTTCGGTTATAATTCACATGCTTTGTTAGCTTCATGTGGTTATGCTTTTTCAAAAGTGTTTCTTTCTAGCTTTTCACTCTGAGTAAGCCAGTCTTTCTGTTTCCACCCGCTTTGTGTTTACCACTTGGGCTCAGTCCCCGTCTCCGGTGCCTTTCCCTTGTCCACAGGACGAGGTTTGCTTCTGACTTTCTGTCCAGCCCAGACTGGCTGAGGAGGGGGCTCCCGCTGGGCCGCCGCCTCTTTCCTGCTCTGTCTGTGCAACAACTTTACTGCCTTCTGGGGATTCTTTCTCTCGCTCCTGGATTGGATTTCTTGTTTTCTGAACCGGTGCCTGCCTCCTCCCCGGTGTACTTCCGCGCTTTATTGGTGCAGATTCTGTGATCACTTTCTAAGAAAGAGTGTGTGGGGAGGGAGTTTCTGAATCCCTGTGATTCGTCCCCACAATTGGTTGATTGTTTGGCTACACATAGATTTCTCGGTAGAAAGGTATTTGTCAGTGTTGCCCGGTTTCCATTGTTGATTATAAGTTTGAAGCTGCACTAATTCCTGGCCTCCCCTCTCCCTAAGCTTTGAGGGTCTTTTCCATCCTGGTGTTCTTTGGGTGGTTTTTTTGGGGTGGGGAGAGAGAAACACCTATGTGAGACCTGGCGTCGAAGCAGCAGCCTTGGTGCAGGGCACGACGCCCAGCCCTCCGAGCCACACCGGCCAGGATGTGATCAAGATCTAAAATGAACCCAGATACGTTTGGAAAGGTCCTCGTTTGTAAAGTCATGTCATGGGAGGGTCTTGAGTTCACTCTTAACTGTAAGTGAGCCAGCGTCCGGATAACAGGAAGAGTCTGTAACAGGAAAAGTCACTCCCTCAGTCGTGACTTTTGCTCCGCTGGCAGGGACTTTGGAGTCTGTAAAATGTCTTTACCTGTGACAAAGCACTTTTTAAATTAGGCCGTTTGTGGGTGACTTGCCAAGTTGTGTTTCACTCTGATCTTGCCAGTGTGGACCTGACCAAAGAGGAAGCGCCTGGCCCCGTCGGCTCTAGAAGCGGCTCAGCTGGACCCCCCCAGCAGGAGGACGGCAGCATGTTCTCTCTCGTCACCTGGAACGTGGACGGGCTGGATCTGAACAACCTGTGGGAGCGGGCTCAAGGGGTGTGTGCCTCCCTCGCTCTGTGAGTGCTCGCCCGCCTGTGGGAGGGGGCGGTCGTGCGTCTCCCCTGCGTGCAGGAGGCAGCCGCTGAAGTCTGAGACTGGAATTCAGGTCCAGCTCCCAGGGTGGAGGGAGAGGCGGGGCAGGAACACAGGTTTTTGTTAGAAGCCTTCTCGTGCTATTTGACTTACTGACCTTGTCTGTAATCATTGCTACGAGAATTACCAGGCAGTTCTGAGGCTGTCACACTGGCCGTCACCTGTGGGGTCACGGGTGAGCCACGTCGCTTGTCAGGGATCATTGTTTCCAGAGGACGAGGACGGAAAAGGGTGGTCACACGCCCTCGGGGCCTCGGGGTGCAGGACTGTGGTGCCTCTCAGATTACTGCTTCCTGTTGTCAGTGATTCTCATTAACTTTATGTCACATATCAGATTACTGCTTCCTGTTGTCAGTGATTCTCATTAACTTTACAGTGTGGTGTCACATATATGTTTTTTAAAATTAATCTTTGCAGTATTATGTGTGAAATAGCACAGATCTCTCGTTTTATAGTTACCAAAGAGCAGCATGAACATTGAATATTGGGTGTCTGTGACGGTCAGTTTTGTATTGCTTTTATGTTGTGGTATTTCCTAATCTAGGTTCTGCAGATGAAATGGTACATATCTGCTGTTCACCATAAACTGATGTTTTCAAACAGGTACAGCCCGGATGTGATATTTCTACAGGAAGTTATTCCCCCATATTACAGCTTGCTAAAGAAGAGAGCAAGTAGTTATGAGATTATTACAGGTAACAGCTTTCCTGTCATTTACCTTGCCTTTTTCTTCAAAAAATGTGTCAATGAAAGAAACAAATCGAAGTTAGCCTATTGGAGCATCGGCAGAAAAAAAGTGCAAACACAGTAAGTTTAAGCAAAACAAGCCAGAAACAAAATACTGAGAGAACTATAGGAGATCATTTTATAAAGCTTTGAAGTGAGAAAGTGGTTGAAATGAATGATATCTCAGGAAAATGTAAATTGTCAAAATTTGAGACAGTAGCTTTTTGGGGACATTAAGTCATTAAAAAATTTAAGTGTGATAATTGCATTGTAGTTATGCTTTTTTCCAAATTCTTAATTTTTCAGTTATAATTCACATGCTGTATTAGCTTCATGTGGTTATGCTTTTTCAAAAGTGTTTCTTTCTAGCTTTTCACTCTGAGTAAGCCAGTCTTTCTGTTTCCGCCTGCTTTGTGTTTGCCACTTGGGCTCAGTCCCCGTCTCCGGTGCCTTTCCCTTGTCCACAGGACGAGGTTTGCTTCGGACTTTCTGTCCAGCCCAGACTGGCTGAGAGGGCTCCCGCTGGGCCGCCGGCTCTTTCCTGCTCTGTCTGTGCGACGACTTTTCTGCCTTCTGGGGATTCTTTCTCTCGCTCCTGGATTGGATTTCTTGTTTTCTGAGCCGGTGCCTGCCTCCTCCCCGGTGTACTTCCGCGCTTTATTGGTGCAGATTCTGTGATCACTTTCTAAGAAAGAGTGTGTGGGGAGGGAGTTTCTGAATCCCTGTGATTCGTCCCCACAATTGGTTGTTTGGCTACACATAGATTTCTGGGTAGAAAGGTATTTATCAGTGTTGCTTGGTTTCCATTGTTGATTATAAGTTTGAAGCTGCACTAATTCCTGGCCTCCCCTCTCCCTAAGCTTTGAGGGTCTTTTCCATCCTGGTGTTCTTTGGGTGGTTTTTTTGTTTTGGG